AACGTTAAATTTCAATGAAAATATATCATCGACGATACAGGGTGTCTGATAGAGGAATTCGCTACGTATTTGATAGAAAAATTTAGTGGCATCGACGCGGTATATCGTCCCACGTGGCGGAACACGCGGTCCAGCGGAACGAGGATTTTCTTTGGCTGATCTATTATACACTGGAAAAAAAAGTATAGATTCTACATGCGACGATGCGTTATGTTTCTTTTATAATTAATTAAAAGTAACAAGCGAAACTTAATTTCCACCCCGTTTACAGAAGAAACATCGACATTGGAAAATAAAGAAAACACCCCATCTTGGTATATTGAAAACTCTCTATTTTTTTTTTTTCAGTGTATTCATATCCTTCGACATCCTTTCTCAGAGGGACAACAGACAGGATGTCACGACGAGAAGTGTCGCCGTACTCTCACCCATCGTCCACGATCGCTCGAAAAGGATGCTAGAAAATGAACGAACGAAAGGATAATCAAGGATCGATTGTCACACGCTGGACCGTGAGAGAATTTTGCGACGCGCCATAGTGTCTCTTTTGTTTTTGGCAAAGCGAGGCTACCGACACATACATATACATGTATGTACAACAGGCGAACCGAGAAAAAGGAAAAACGATCCGGCAAACGGGTCGTTTCTACCAGACATCCCGTACCCACATCTTCGCTCTCATTCGAATTGTTTTGTTTTTCTTTTCATTATCATCGTCGTCGTTCTCTACGTTCGTTCGAACACACATTTCAATTTTCCCTTCGACAAATTTCTCTTCCCTTCTCTCTCTCTCTCTCTCTCTCTTCTCGTCATTTCTTTCGTCACGTTCTTTTTTCTCTCTCTCTCTCTCACTTTTGTCTCTCCGTGAACGGATACCGCTTTAGGGAGTTTGGCCAGATACACAAAAAAAAAAGAATCTGCGTAATGATCGCGTCAAGTCGCATGCCGCGTTTTATATAAAGTCCGTTCATTTCCTCTTGCTGCGCCGCCTTATTTGTTAAAAATCAGATCGGTCGCATAAAGTTATGAATAATTCGCAAAACGATCCCGACCCCCCTCCCCCCTCCCCTCAACCCAGACAATCCAAATGTAATTCCAATATATTATATAATGTACAAATCGAGACGGAAAACGAAAACGGAAAAAACCAACAGCCACGTGTGCACGTACGCGCGTGCACACACACCACGCACGTACATTTCGATGGGAAATGTACACGCGTGTACGTGTGCGCCGTGTGTCCGTTCCTTCGACAGAGCTTGCCTCGGTAATGATATAGTAACTTCATTTGACACATACTTGAGGAAACAAGTCCGCACACGAGCTCGAAGAGTGAAAATATGTCAGATATAAAAAAAAAATTAAATAAATAAATAAATAAGTAAAT